TAACCAATCACAGCACATTTCGTATTTCAGAAGGCGGGCCTTCATTTGATACAGGAACTATTCGAGCCGTTCATGCCAGACTGGAGAGAGAGGTGTTGTAATAATGTAAAATATGTGAAAAATAATGTGTTTTTCGAACAACCTAGTATGAGAGCCTGTTCTAGTACACCCCCAAAACAAAATCAAGACTTTGTAAAAGAGCATAATAGGACCCCTTTAAAGTATGGTTCAAAACATAATTAATGAGTCTGACAATTTTCAGAGAATCTGACCAACATTAAATATTAAATAATTATAAGCTAATAATCTAATTAAGAAAAAAACTGACTACTGTAGAAATTACTTTGGGAAGACGCTGTTCATAAACAGATTACTTTACGGCACAAAAGAATGGTTACGCTCATTGTCCATATAAAATATAAATATGGATATAAACATGGACCAAAAATCTATAATAATACATTATTTAATCATTTGAACCTTTATTCATTTGATGCCTCTTTTATTCAGAATCATAAAAAAACAATATTAATGGAAGTGAAAGGATGGCTTTGTATAATAATAATAATAATAATTATTATTATTATACAGGAAGAGTAATTCCCAAATATGTCAGTTTTAAACAATCATAACCACTCCACTTCATAAAACTTCTTTGCATTTAAATAATGTAACTGATATATAAATGCTATCTGGTGTTTAAGCAGGACCACTTTCTTTATAATATGAATCACTTTATAGCTCATAAGGTGGACACATTTCTGGTTTAATAATCATTGCACCGAATGAAAAATATCTGTTTATTCATACATCATATTTCAGTTATTATATATCTTGCTCAACCCACACTGATTTTTAAAAGACACTTTAAAATGTCAACATGGGTGAGTTTGCACAGTGTATTTTCCTACTTGCCAGGTATTCTGCATTCAGGCAGATATTGCATTCCTGAACTCTATAGGCAAAGTGTTTTTAAGTTGCTTTAAAGAGTGTTTAACTTGCTCACAATTACTGCACAATGAAACAAATGCTACTGAAGGATGTTTGTCCATCATTGGTGATGTGAATGGCTCATTTTCCTGTTGTTCCAAAGGACATCTTAAGAACCATAATCGTATCGCTTAACCACAGTCCTTATCAATCTATTATCATTTACAATCGATTATACAACAGTTAGTTCTTGTCCTTGATTTGATTTGCCAAGTGTTCCAGGACATCATATTTAGTGTAACAGCACTGTGATGTTTAACTTTTTGCATCACTCCGCTTGTCTATGTTTGGAAAAACTGGAGTGAATGTGGAGTGGAGTAGTCTCTGTCCTATTTGATAAAAAATGCAAAGCTTTAATGCTTTGACTTCTTTTGGAACTATTTATACGGGAAAAATATATACAGACTGTCAAATTTTTGTCTAAAATGTAATGGATATCAATTGCATGTTTATAGAACTGCTGTATAAAAGCTATATCAGTTTTCATTGTTTTGTTATTCTGAATATGAGCGTGACTGTGATTATCCGCAACTGAATTATAGAGTGTCACAGTGCCTGCCCATTTTTTCAGCAGCCTTGGTTCCGGAAGTATTTTTCCCATCCATTCATCATTCGTTTTAAGCCATGAACTAAACCAACCAGCTACTAAGTGAATTACACTTGATTTGAAGCAAAAAAATTATTTGAAAATCAGTCTAAAAGGTACAAGACCGTGTACTTAAAACGGCTTTAATGTGGGAAAGAAGCATTGCAAATGGCATCAATTAAAAATGATGGGAAAACTTGTGCTTCATAGGAGTGAGTGGATGCTAAATTAGTTTGTTGCGGTTGTCCGATTGGTGATTTCTCTTCAGAATCATGGGTTATGTAGTTTTACACCAGGAATTCCACTGATAAACACAATTATTGAAATAGTGCAGACTGATGGCTTCAATAAAAGCATGTGCCATCAATTAACAACCTTGTAGCTCACAGTAGGTCTGTCTTTAAAGGTTTTTGTTATCGTTGAAATGAATTCCCCAATGTAGAAAATGAATGGGATTTTTACTTTCAGAACCCAACTATTGCTCTCTTTAATGTAACAACAACCTTTTCAAAGCAGGTAGGTCAACACAGTTTCTGTCCTTGAAATAGCAACAAAATTAATATAAACTGTTTGACGACTTCTCTCACATTCGCAGTTGTTATTTCTCTTCTCTCACTGCACAGTCATCACAGTTAATATCATATAATTACGTGCCACGCAAATAATCTGGTGTCACACTCCACTTGCTGCATTCTCAGTGTCCTTGGTAACCAACTCCTCTTGCAATGGAGATGAGCCCTCTATTAATTCCAGACCATGTTCTATCAAAGAGAAGACATCAGGGCTTGCACTGTAGCTTATCCAAGATGCTTGGTCAGTTATGGGAGAGGCTGAATCCCACATGTTCGGCCGATTCTCAGTGGCACCGACCCCAAAACTGCTGTAGACATTTTGGTTATTAGAAGATTTGGCTCCATGGGCCAAAGGAGGTTCACTTGATGCACCTGCTACAAGAATACTAGTTTCGGACACATGGCTAACTTCTGCTGTACTGAAACGTCCTAGTTTGTCGTGAATGTGCGCAGAGTCAAATGTTCCAGTTTGGTCAGTATTCTTTGTTTTTGTTGTGGGGATATTGAGAAGGCCTTCGTGACCGTTGTTATCACCGCTGTGTCTCTGTGAAGAAGTGGAGTGGGCAAATGTGGGGGTCTGTGTCGATCTCAGGCTGACCGGTGGTGTTTTATTCATATTGTTTGTAGTTGGTACATCACTTGTTGTGATGTTATTTGTGTTTATAGGTATAATTGCAGCCGTCACCAATACATCTGACCGTCCAGACACAGATGCAGACGTCGGTTTCCATATCAAACTGTAATAAATTGCCACTATAATAGCGGCCAAAGACACCGACAAGACATATGCGAATACAGTAGCCAGTCTCACCCACTTTTCATTGGTTTTAGCAGCCATTTTAGCTTTTTTGTCGCCCGTGTATGTGGCCGGTTTGCCCCGTTCCATGTTTGGCATAAAGTCCCGTTCCCTCATGTTCGCGCGGGTTCTCCCTCTGTGCTCCTATGCGCCGTCCAAGACGAACGCTTGATATTGACAGATTATTCAAGAGAACTGCTGACGGTTTAATACTCAGCTTTTGTCGATTATCCACGTCGCTGTGTTTTTTTACTCATTCATCATTCCTCCAATCTTGCAAGTCCACAACAGAGATCTGTTTCCAGCATGACAGTAGCGTGTGGACGTTATTCAATGCAGAGACGCTTCCAGAGCGCTATAGATGACCGCTATATTCAGCGATCTCACCCCGTCTAAAGCAAAACCAGTGCTGAGATGTGATTCATCTGCTGAATGACATCGAACAGACATACAGACAGCCTCCGTGCTATACAGTGAGGGGACCGTGTGCTATAGACCGAAAACGAAGGGAGGCGGGTCTCACTAGTGCGCACTAACAAGTCGCTGCCCACAGCTAAACGTCATCCAGTCAGAATCCCCCTGACTGTGTTTGGGTAGTTAACATGGACATGAACATGCTTATATTTAAAGGGGAAATGTATCACATGTGGCCACAAAAGCTCATATATAATTATATAATAAGTGCCATAAGTTTCGATGCACTGCAGGATACTACTGTCAACCACCCATTTCTTATTATTTCAGTAACTTTATAAATCATGGGAGAACTATACACAAACAGACAGACATTTTGACAGATTTTGGTCCTTTGTCCCGGGTCTCAATTTGCTTAATAGTTTTCTCTGTGTTGCAGTTTAGTTTTATAAACAATTGTTTTCATATAGGCTATATTGTATATATATATATATATATTTGCAATATAAATGTCCAAATCTCAGAAACAAGTTTTCATCTCTATTAAATAGATATAAACATTGTCAGATAGCCTATAATAACAAAATGTTATATGCCTGTTGGTAGCGTCATATGTTTGGCATATTATTAATCAGAAGAAAAAAGAGTCAAAGATGTATTGCATTGTGTAAAAGGATATACCATTTTTGCCTGTTTTATAAATAATGCCTTTGTACCTTTGTTTTGACATGTTAGTCACCAAGTGCATGATGGCACCAGGTGGACAAACAGCTACACTGCACTATGACTGAAATAACGGCCAATCTGAAATTATTGTGCATTCACCTGAACAAAGGTTAAATCAGTATCAGTATGTGTATAATTTAATTCCATATTATTTTACACCTGTAACAAAATGTCATTGGTTATTGTGATTAAAAACTCGAAATATCTGAAAGGACACATTTCAAGATGTTTGGAGATGAGGAAGTGTTGTGTCTAATTCTGTGTACTTCGCATTTTTACTCGCTGTCTGTTTAACACGTCTCAATATGTTTTTCACACAGATACTTTTTTTTTTTTTGGTAACCAAAGACAAACTGAGGACAAGTGTTGACACTGTGACCTGACTATTGGCAATGCAGGACAGGAACAGACAATTTTTTTTGTTAGAGGTCTAAGTATTCAGGACTTAAACTTCTGAAACGTGGACTTGGCTGAGGGTGCTAAACATGCAGCCTAATGGGGTATAAAACTTAATGGGGTATTCATGTAAGCAAATGGCACTCATGATCAGTGATCAAGTAAAAGCTTCTTGCTTAGTCTTGAGTTGGAATGTGAGTGTGGTTCTCTATTCATTTACGTTTTATACACCAGTTAGTTTTAGTTATAAAAATGCCGGAAGTATTCAATTTATACAAGCATAGCTTTGTGTATATGGCAACTAAACAGAAACTGAATCTCAACAAATCTAAAAACTACTAAAATTATAGACTTAAAGAAAACACAGAATATCATATACAAAGAAATCCATTATGATTGTTAATCATTATTTTAAACAATAGCTATTTAGGATTTTTTTTCTTTTTTGGCAATTAAAACAATTTATAATTTAAATAAATTTGCTATTGAACATCATTGTCCAAAATAAATTAATCTGATTTAAGGGTTCAGTCTTATCTTTGGAAAATCATGGGATCACTATTGTGGCAAACAGATTGCGCAGTCTGAGGAAGTGATGTCAAAAGACAATGTGTATATATAAGTATGAGAACTGAGAGCGAAACCTGTTACTAAAAGAGAAGAAAAATGAATTTACTCTTGGGCACATGTCTTGGATTGCTGTTCAACTTTGTTGATTTTAATACAGGTAATACAGAAAAATGGCGGTCAGACTGGATAGTTTTCATAATTAATATAATATTTTTCATAATCAGTATAATGGCCTGGTTTCACAGACGGGGCTTAGACTAAGCCAGGATTAGGAGTCAAAGATGTATTGCATTGTGTAAAAGGATATACCATTTTTGCCTGTTTTATAAATAATGCCTTTGTACCTTTGTTTTGACATGTTAGTCACCAAGTGCATGATGGCACCAGGTGGACAAACAGCTACACTGCACTATGACTGAAATAACGGCCAATCTGAAATTATTGTGCATTCACCTGAACAAAGGTTAAATCAGTATCAGTATGTGTATAATTTAATTCCATATTATTTTACACCTGTAACAAAATGTCATTGGTTATTGTGATTAAAAACTCGAAATATCTGAAAGGACACATTTCAAGATGTTTGGAGATGAGGAAGTGTTGTGTCTAATTCTGTGTACTTCGCATTTTTACTCGCTGTCTGTTTAACACGTCTCAATATGTTTTTCACACAGATACTTTTTTTTTTTTTGGTAACCAAAGACAAACTGAGGACAAGTGTTGACACTGTGACCTGACTATTGGCAATGCAGGACAGGAACAGACAATTTTTTTTGTTAGAGGTCTAAGTATTCAGGACTTAAACTTCTGAAACGTGGACTTGGCTGAGGGTGCTAAACATGCAGCCTAATGGAGTATAAAACTTAATGGGGTATTCATGTAAGCAAATGGCACTCATGATCAGTGATCAAGTAAAAGCTTCTTGCTTAGTCTTGAGTTGGAATGTGAGTGTGGTTCTCTATTCATTTACGTTTTATACACCAGTTAGTTTTAGTTATAAAAATGCCGGAAGTATTCAATTTATACAAGCATAGCTTTGTGTATATGGCAACTAAACAGAAACTGAATCTCAACAAATCTAAAAACTACTAAAATTATAGACTTAAAGAAAACACAGAATATCATATACAAAGAAATCCATTATGATTGTTAATCATTATTTTAAACAATAGCTATTTAGGATTTTTTTTCTTTTTTGGCAATTAAAACAATTTATAATTTAAATAAATTTGCTATTGAACATCATTGTCCAAAATAAATTAATCTGATTTAAGGGTTCAGTCTTATCTTTGGAAAATCATGGGATCACTATTGTGGCAAACAGATTGCGCAGTCTGAGGAAGTGATGTCAAAAGACAATGTGTATATATAAGTATGAGAACTGAGAGCGAAACCTGTTACTAAAAGAGAAGAAAAATGAATTTACTCTTGGGCACATGTCTTGGATTGCTGTTCAACTTTGTTGATTTTAATACAGGTAATACAGAAAAATGGCGGTCAGACTGGATAGTTTTCATAATTAATATAATATTTTTCATAATCAGTATAATGGCCTGGTTTCACAGACGGGGCTTAGACTAAGCCAGGATTAGGCCATAGTTCAATTAGAACATTTAAGTCATTTTTATTAACATGCCTTAGAAAAAAACATTACTGGTGTGCATCTTGAGACAAAACAAAGGCACTGATATATTTTAACATCAGTCAGTGCAAGTTTCTTTCAGTTGAAACAGCTCAGAATTACATTTTAGTCTGGGACTAGGCTTAAGCCTTGTCTGTGAAACCAGGGGAATATTTTTTTTAATTAAGTTAGCAGGTTTTTATGCTTGGTTGCCCTTTTTTGATCAACTGAATACTACTTAGTTATTTTTAATGTAAAGGTTATGTTTGTGTTTACATTAAGGTGCTGATATGACTGCAGAAGAAAAGAAAGTCTTCCTTGGAGGGAGTGTGAGTTTGCTGTGTCTTAATCTGTTGACACAGACAGACTGCAGTAATGTTACATGGCTGTCTAATGATGATCCTGCCATTGAGTTGGTCACCCTTGGTAAACGCAATCCGGACAGCTCACAGAGAGAAGGCAGAGTGAGTCTGATGTCTGACTGCTCTCTACACATCAGTGAACTCAGAGCTGGAGATAATGGATGCTACACCTGCCGTCAGTATTCAGGTTTGCATGGAAGCAAAATTGAAGAGGATGCCAGAATTTGCTTGATTATTAATAAAGGTAAGCTTTATGGCATGATTTATCAATTTGTCTTCCTTTGTGTCCTTCACTTTTACAAAACAATAGTAATGTATAAAGTTTTAAATTAATTTAAATCTTGTTTTTACTGTGCAGTATACAGTATTTACATGTGCGTTTACATTTTATATTAATAGAATTTAACATTAATAATAGATTTCTACCAGGTTAATTGTTTTTCTTGTTGTAAATGTCTTTGACTGCTCTATATTGCTGTTGCAGTTTAGTCAGGTCAGTAGTTAAATGTTAGTGGCTTAAGTTTTTGCTATGGAAAATGATCATAATGCCAGCAATATCCTAACCAACAGTTTTGTCTTATATCTAAAATTGGCAAACATCTACAATGCCTTTTTCCTTTTTTTTCAGCTGCTACTTCCATGAACAATAATGACAGCACTGATGACAGAGAAGGTGATATATCGTCCTCCAATTATTTCCATAAATCTTATTTTCATGATTGAGAATTGTATATAGACTACAGTGTTCAACAGCAATCTTATATTTGTATCCATTGTTGGAAGTTGTTCTGTGTAAATTAGTAGTTCAACATGAGTAGAGCTCAGGGCTAAAACAGATGGATTAAACACATTTTGACAAATGCAGTATGATGTGTTGGTAGAAAAACCTAAAACATATAAATAAGCCTTTGAATTCTAATTACATTATCTGCTTTCTTGGTTTCTTGTTGAACAGCATACTGTACTTCATAATAAAACCTAATACATTATAGTGTATAGAAACATAAAGACATTATATCTACGTGACTCTATAATGCTGTTGTTGTTGTTTTTTTATTCTTCTTCTTTTAAAGACCTGTTAATGATAATAATCCCATCAGTGCTCATCGTCGGTGCTTTGTCAGTGACTGCACTCATCATTTGGCTGAGATATCACAGGAGAGCACAAAGTGAGCCATGGTTACCTTACGGTCTCATTCTTTACAACTGTGCTGTTTCTTTTAACTTACCAAATCTTCAACCCTGAAAATGTGCACTTTCTTTCTTTCTTTCTTTCAGTGAGAACATCAGTTGAAAATCAGAACATATTGGAATTTGAAACCAAAATAACTGAACGTGAACACAAGAATGTGGGTAAAATGCCAATTGGATATAGCATATACATCTTGATTTACCTGGTGTGTTGCTTTACTCAATTTACAGAATTCTGTTCTTATTACTTGCACAGGGTGAAGATGTGAACTACATTGAATTAAACTACAATGTAATGAAACCAAGGAAAATGGACGTTGACAAAGTAGCGGACATTGACCAAAAAACTGAATATGCTGTCATAAAACTTTGCTGATCGCTGTAAACATGTTACGCTAAATAATTCCTCAGTTGTACAGCATAAAATAAGTTGATTTCATCGACTGCATGTGTCTGTGTGTAAGCACTTCCTCACAGGTTATGATTCCCATGAGGTCATTGTCTGGTTTTGGTCACTGGATACTCATAAGTCACAAGTTTATTGAACTTCTCTCTGTCTCTCTCTCTTGTGTATCTTTTGTCACAATTATTTTTCCATTTGTTTGTTTCTTTGTTCTTTTAGCTTTACTTTATGTGCTTCATTAAATTAAGATAAACTATTTTCTGCCTCATTCTTAACTTCTGTAAAAGAACATTACAATTGCAAACATCACAATCGCACAAATCAACAGTCAAATTAATTCAAAAGTTTTCTTTTTTCATTTTGACTGGCACAAACTCGACAAGAAACAGAGGACCAAAAACCAGTAAAAGACATGGATTTGTAAAATATATGAAACAGGAGAAAGAAACACATCACATTGATGAGTGTTAAATGTGGGGGGGGGGGGGGGGGATTAAATGCTACTAAAGCTGCAAACCACCAACTCAAATCTGAAGACAGACAAATATATAACTTATACTTATATAACGTTATACATCAGCAGTTTGTCATACAGTACTGCCCAATAGAGCCATTCAATCACAATGTCATTTTGCGTTCCTTGTGAAGTTTTAGGTTTTTAACACAAACACACACACACACACATATATATATATATATATATATATAGTGTGTGTGTGTGCATATATACAGTATATATATATATATAATGAGGAAAAAAAATTAACTTAAATTATTTTAGCAAATGGCTGCAATATAACAAAGAGTGAAAAATTTAAGGGGGTCTGAATACTTTCCATACCCACTGTATATATATATATGTGCGTGTGTGTGTGTGTGTGTGTGTGTGTGTAACACTAGGTCTGTGGTTTAAAGGATCTTTCACATTCTACAATATGTTCATGCCTTAAATGTGAATTTGAACTTTTTTTCATGCAAGTTGCTATATAAGGACTACTGCGGTTACCCAATTCCTCAAGCACATAAATTCACATCCTTGAACTAGTTGTACTCCTTATTTAGTAAGTGTGCTTTACTGTCATATTTAGTGTGAAGTTGAAGTTGAACACCAATTCTGTGAAATCATAAGAAATGAAACCATACACGCACACACACAAAACTTTCATAAAATGTTTACGTTTTAATTCTAAAGGTGTACTTCAGTTTCATGGCTTAAAACCATTTTCATTTTATTTGTAATATATATGTGATAACAAACCCCCATTACAGGAAATAATGATCTCAATGAAGACATTATGTGTGTGTGTGTGTGTGTGTGTGTGTGTGTGTGTGTGTGTGTGTGTGTGTGTGTGTGTGACACTAGACCAACATATATAAACATCCATGTAAAAACAGTAAAACTGATGTGATGACAACAATTTAAAAAAATGATGGCAAAGAATTTTGAAAATTTTTCTATTTTTAACATTTACATTTTTTTAACATTTAAATTTACCTGTTTTCCCCAGCATGCAATATATCAAATAGCTAATTTAAACAAACATTACTGTAAAAAAAATCTTAGCCTATTGTTCTCTTTAAAAAAAAACATTGACCCAAGGAAATTTGTCACGATTTTGGAAATAAAATGGAATGAATAAATAAATAAATAAATAAAATGTTCATTTCACCAAAGCAGTGATTGTTAGATAGAAAATAAGGAAAAGAGGCATCTGAAATGTGTTTCCTTATCTCTGTGCACCTTTAGTTTGTATTTGGTGGTTAATGAGGAGAAGCACTGTTTAAAAGCAAACTCTGGCTAGCAGAACCCATGTTGAGATTATCCAATAGGTGTCAAGTGCCTGCTCTTGACTGTGCCTGAGTCCACACTGCCAAGCTCAAGAACAAAAGGTTGCAAGACTCTCCTTGTCTGTGTCCCACAGATCTTTGACGACCCCCCTCAAACCCCCAACATACACAAGCACGGCCCAAACCCCAGCACATACATACAATCTCAGCATGTGGCAGACTACCGGAGCCGACCCAATGTTGCCCCATTTGCATTTTAAGCACAGGATGGAAAGAGAACACTTGAGATGTTTTAGCCCACAACGGCTCATCAACATTTCAGCTCCACATTTTAGCAAGAACTTCTGTTATCACACTTATTTAATGCGTTTTTACGGACACTCCAGAAATAAAGTTCTTTTTTTGGCATAGTTGGTTCCACAAATAACTTTTAACATCCATGGAACCTTTTCACTGCACAAAAGGTTATTTTTAATGAAAGAAGCTTCTTCAGATTAATACAATATTCTTAACACACCAAAAATGGTTCTTTTAAGAAAAGAAAAAAAAAAACTTTTTGAAACCAGATTATGTACATGTTGGTTGACTTTTAGAGTACAAGTTTGTTTGAGTTGCAACCTTTGGACTGGCAATTTAAGACAGTTAATAATAATGTATTTTTTGGTCATAAGCATTAATAAAAACAAGCAATAGGATCATTTCAGCATTGTTTTAAGCCTGGCACCAGGTTGTCTCCATTCAAAAAAACTGGGCTGGAGAGGGTACATTCAGGAAGAGAGATGTAGGTCAGGCCGGTGAGGGGTGGGGTGTGTGGCTGAAGCAGTAGAAACAAAAGGTTCTGTGAAAAGCCTGCAAAAGGTGGACAGGCAGAGGTGTTAAAAGTGATACCCTGAAGAAACAAGAGGCATATATGCACCTTCCCAGATCTGTGTCTCTCTCTGCCATTTGCACACACTGTCTGCTCAAGCACAACTCCAATAAACAAAAGAGTGAGCTTGACCTTGTGTGGCCTGCTGGTCTGACTTAGTTTTTAATGAGACACACATACAGCACTATGAATAAATAGGTAAAGGTTTAAGTAAATAGCATACCTGCTGGATTTACTGAACCTTGAGAATGATAAAAGTTGTGCTCAGGGGGGTTATAATCAAAAACAAGGCCTTGCTAATCCATTAAAAGTGAGCACTACACTAAACATCCCCAGGTATACAGAAAAAATCCATCTACATCTGATTGAAACTGGACCTCAGGCTTTGGCATGGAAAGAAAACACTTCAAAGCCATTGTCTGAGGGAGTTCACTTTGAGCTATGGAAATGGAAATTTCCAGCATTCCTCAATGATAATTGGCTAGCTCCAAAAGGGCAGTGAAGCTTAACTTTAATTACCAAGGAAGCTATAGACCCTATTCAAACTTTGTTGTCTATTTAAAATATATATATATATATATTTTTTAATGTTATTGCAAACATTTAAGGCCAAACTACAAATTTACTATTCAAACTTCTAACCAGAGAGACTGTTCATTTCCAGTATAGGCCTATTCCAATAGTACACAGATTAAATATTTAACACTGCATTTGCAAGCTATGCCATAATATCATACATTTCCAGTGATTATCCATATATATTTTTTAATTGGCTCAATAAATGAACTTATATACAATTCTTTTCAAATAAAATCCTTTGTTTACACTTCACATTGAAAATGACATGCAGGGTTCTTCATATTAGTGATGGACAAATTATTTGGAAAATACCTTAACAGTTACCGTGAAATATCATGGTGCAATGTGTTTTGTGGGGACATTTAGGTGGTCCTCGCTATTTAAAAGGCTCAAATTGTCAAATATATATATATTTTTAACTACTATTAACTGATTTTGTGATGCTTAGATGTAAGGGTAGGGTATAGTAAGCATTATTATCTTAAAACCCATTGTGTCTATAAGAAGTCCTTACTAAAACAGTTTCCACTGATAGCTTATAGGTAGGTGTGTGTGTGTGTGTGTGTAGGGGTTCAACACAACCCAGTGATTGACAATTTCCTGAAGGGAGGTCCCTCCCTTATCATGTGAAATTTCCTATACTTGGGTTCAGATTGCGCTCGTTGTCTCACCTATGATGAGCACGTTGTCCACCTCACACAATGGATTAAATTTGGAGTTGTGAGAAGGTCTAAATTTGCCATAGCTGACTACTTTACAAAGCTGATTTAAATCTCAAGGGAGGGAAACGCGAAAAACAAGGTGAGGTATTTGCGCTTTAATTTTGTTCGTTTGAATATAGTGCACTCTGCACGGTACTGTTTGTATTTATTCTGAATAATTCAGTCTTAATATGAGGACAGTTTTGTGTTCTTAGGCGTATTTTCTCTTATTTTATTAAATAAGTGAATTGATTTGTTAAGTCCACTTAATTTGCGCTTTCAAAGAAAATTAACAGAAATGTTAATGTATAACCGTACTCGAAAGTGCTGATAAGTGTTCGTATGATGAATTGTGTTTTTCGCTTGAGTAACGGAGACTCGTTTGGACTTCTGTCAGCCTCATTAGTGAAAAGTATCTGTAACTGATCTCTCTGTGTGATGCTGTGCCCTTTATTTGTTTCCGTTTAATACATGTTTTATCTAAAGAGTAAAATACATAGCTGCCCAACAAAAAAACAAGCCACATGTCCATTTCTAAAAAGGATTAATAAAAGTCAGTGGAAGTATGTGTGCGAATCTACAAAAAAGAATCAGCTAAATGTGCAGTTAGGCCTAATGGATGGCTGCAAATATAGTAACAATTTATTTTACCAGACAGATGTGGGAAAGTGGTTTGATAAACCAAGAATAAATGCTTATTTTCTTTTTTTACTTGAAATGTTATCATGAAATCACCGTACCTTTTTTCTATAGTTACAGTCAACAGTACAGTCAACTCTGTAAAATACACGCGTAATTCTTTTGGACTTTTTTCTTTCTTTTTTTTTGTCACAAAAATGGGTTAATGGTTAAATTGTTGTATGGTTATGCTAATCACACCCATCTCTTTACAAAGGGGCATTGTTATTTTACATTAATCAGCATTGTTATCACTATTATTATCACTTTTTGTATTATACAAAAAATCTTTTAAATTAATTCATTTCATACAAAAGTTTTAGTGTTTTTTTTTCATCACTTCTGCTTAAGTAGCAATATCTTCAAAGATATTTTACATCTGTCAATAAAACAAAATGTGTGCATTTTGGCAACCGCT